AAAGAAACAGAGAAAAAGAACCAAGCATCCGGGAAAACATTTGAAGGTTGGCAATACAACAGATTGCTCGAAATTCCTACCAGAAGTCGCCTGACAGTGGTGTCGCATGGAATTTCTTATGTTCAGGAAGATTCCTGGTATGTTACGTATCCTCTCGGCAGCTTCAGATATTCAATCTTCAACTGAAGAAACATCTGTGCAGAACACCAAACTCTTTATGTGAACCCAGAAGAAGAAGTTCATACTTTTTCGAACAGCTGTTGTTGTAAAACTTCTAATAAAATATTTTCTGTCCCATTAACGGGTTGCTATGTATGTTCTTTTACCTCATGGCACACTTATATATATAGCCTTCAGCATTTTGCGAGCTTCACGGTATCGCGTTTCTGAATTCCTACACACTCTGCAAGTTTCTCAGTCTGTTAGCGAATCACCCTGTATATATTACTGCTTCCTCCATCATTTATACTATATACATCAAACTTTTGCACAGCTTGATTTTGACTACTTCTTTCCAAGCACTACAGCCGTTTACCGGCCAAGCCTGTCTCAGTCAGCTTATACCAGGAGTACTCAACCTTTTTTCCCGCCGGGCCGCATACACATGACAGGTATTTCACACAGGCCGCATACACATAACAAGTATTTCATACAGGGCGGCCGCTTGTACAGTTAACGGAACAAACACACTATAGACAAGCTGAGCCATTTGGACGAAACAGTGATCAAAATATTGTTAAAGCTGATTTTTTAGCGCATTTTGTACCCTGTTAACTTTTCGATCAAACGCATACATAAAATATTTTGGCCGCGCGCGCACTGAGTTATGGGACCATTTCTATTTCCTTTCACCTATGACCAAGCCTCTTGCTTGTTCTCTGCTATTAAAAACAAATCGACAGCAAAATTGATATGTTTGATTGTAGCAGGCGATGAGATTTCCAGCCAAATTTTTGGTATTTGTTGGTAATTGAATTTCACAGTGCAATGGGCCCTGACCGGGAAACTCAGAACAGGCCGGTGGGCCGCAGGTTGAGTATCACTGGCTTATACCATCTTAATCTATTCAATGCTATGTTCTTCCATCGGTAAACTCCTAAGCCTTCAACCGTTTTTTTACTTTATCCATCGATCTTGTTCTCTGTCTTCCTCTGTTCCTTTTTCCCTCTGGAGTTTTGAAAGTTATTTTCATAACAGGATTTTCATCGTTATATCGAAATACATGCCCCTTCCACCTTTTTTGGAAAGCCTTAATCACTTAGATTACGTTGGGTTCTCTGTATTTCGATTGAAGTTCAAGGCTGTATCATATTCTCCAGATTCTGTTTTGGCTTCTAATCATGATAAATTCAAAAACAAAGGATTTATTTTAGGTGGTGTTCATTTTCTTATAATTTTAACACTGATTATAAATAATTACCACTTTTATAGAACTCTCCTTTATTGACCATTTTGGCTAGTCTTATAGATAAGATGCAAGACAATTCAATGAAATATGCAATTAAGAGCCTCTCCTAGATCTCCTTTCATTATCGTAATGTCAAAGGCGCTTCCGTGTAAACCATTCCAGAGTCTTCTGCAGTAACTGCCCTCCGATAACAGAAGACTCACACGAAGAGCGCTGGGAGGGTATATTCTGCAAAATACTTGTTCCGTTTGAGAGAGGAGCTGGAGGTTTCATCATTATCTAATTACGTGAACGCTGATCTTAAGTAGAGGGACCCGTTAAATACGCGGTTACAGCTGATTAAGAATATTTTCCTACTGGCGCTTTTGAAGTGAAGCGAGATTAGCTTTTAACACGGAAGCATCTGTCTGGGGAGGTATTTGGTTCCCAGGTGTGTGTTGTATTTTCACCATGTCTGGTTTGAAAGATTTCGAGAGATTTCCTACGCTGGCGTAATATAATCGGTATATACTTGAATGGAGATAAATTTAATTTGGAAATTTTATCGGGGAAAAAGGTTTGAATTGTTTCTGATTTTCAAAACGATTGTGTATTCAGATTGTGAAAAGGGAATGTTTAATTTTTTCCTAAATAAAGGTTAAAATCACGATTGAGAATCTATACTATAAAGTGGGGTATTTGAATCGTAGTCTGTTAATTAATTATTTGATTTGCAACCTTGCTTAATTAATCAAATTAACTGTAAGGCTCATCTTACTACTAAAACTGTGTAGAGTGGAGCTGCCATCCGATATAAAGAAAAGAGAATTTTGCGAGAGGGAAGAAGCTGAAAACTGTTAACGAACGATGGAACTGAGACAAAAATGTTGTGAAACAAAAAATTAATGTTTAGTACTATGTTTTAACGGTATATGTTTAGTGTTATGTGGAGTGTGGCATTAGCATGCATAATAAAAATTTGGCCAATACAAAATGCCAGGATTTTATTTGCTTAGTAAAGTAAAGAAATCTTTATAGATAAATCTAAATATATAGAACTCTCTAAATTTCAAAATTTTATGTAATCTTTTTAACATTGCCAATGAAGTAGTTTAAAGACAAACTATAAGAATAATATATATAATTGGCTGAACATGGATTCAAATCTCGATTGAACTGTGGCAAATTTAATCACCCAGGCTTACTCGGCACCTCTTCCTCATATTGATTGAGGTGGAGATCTCGCTCATCACTGAGATTCCATGGGGATTAGAACACATCATGGGTGTAGAAGCCATTGAATCAAACTCGAAAGAATCACCACAAGATTTGCTAAAATTTACTTTTATAAAGTTAAAACAACAGAAATGGCTATGTGATACACAGGCAAGACAAGCTAACGGGCAAGAATCGAATTTCTACCTAACTAAATAAGAGGCAACTTCTCAGACTTGACGAAATCAAAATCCTCTGTAATCTTGAATACCAAAAAATACGACAATGTGTCCGTGGCACGAATCATTGTAGCAATATCGTCCAGAAACATCTACAGTATTCTCTATTCCTCTGACTAGTTATATGTTATCCGGTAGTGACGTTATTTTGTGTTGAGACGTTGCTCTAACTTAAAATGCCACTTTTCTGGACAGAAGAATACCCCAGTTAGGTAGGATATACCTCTTGGATAGCTATTATTACATGGCTTTCTTTAAGTCGATCTAATGGGTAAAATGGAAGTTTGGAGAATAAAACACTAGATCACTAACATAATTTTTCTTTTTAACAGTGGTTCAAGTGCGAAGGGGAAGGAGGAGAGGGGGTGGGGTCGTCATCACTTCAGTTGTATGGCTGCTTTTAATGATAGATACGCGGATAAACCGAAAAATTAATATTGAAAGAAATATTTGTTTTAATAAGGAAACTATTATTAACTCTTTTTAAATATAAATGTTGTTATTGTCTAACGTTTGACTAAATAATTTACTTTTGATCAGTATTATACATCCACGATATGCAGTTCCAGAATAAAAATGAGATACAGTTGAAATCAAACTATTGTAAAGCCGCCCATCCGGTATAGTGGTTAGTGATGCTGACTACGGTGCCGTAGGTTTCAGGTTCGAATCAGGTAAGACATGGATGTTTATGTTGTAATCCTTCTCTTCTTTGTGATGTGCTTCACGCTTACTTCTATATAAGCCCCCGTGTGATACTTTGTGATGCACGGGGTTATAAATGTTCTAAAAAAAATATTGTAAACGTTTACTATATAGTATTGCATCGTATTACAGATTAACTCAGCATTATATAGCCATTTCTAAAATAAAAAGAACGTCATAGTGAACTTACTGAGGCTGCACGCTTGCTGCGAACAGAGACTGTTGGAAAAGAAAGAAAACTACTGTGAGTCAAGTTTGAAAACGGTACTTTTGGTTTTCAGATTGTGTTCCTACCAATTGCTCTGTTAGGCTATAATTTCCGCCCCTGTTTGTATGACATTCGAAATGGAAAACGCCGAATAGTGGGGAACGCCCTTTCCTTAATGGCCCCACTATTTTTCCATTATACTTCTTTTTTTCCTTTGTTCGATGACGTCAGTTAACAGAAAGATTACGTGTCATTTGGATGCTGACACCTGTAGGTTCATCCACTCGGCGCGCCTCTACAACTGTTTGGTTTTCGTGCCTTACGACCTGGTACTGCTTCCTCCTAAGAGAGGTGATACTGTCGGTAGCAATTGAACCTAAACCCATAACTATTGGCAACGATATTTGGAAGCTGTGCTGTTTAGCTTATTCCGATTAAGGGATTAGTACCAACCTGCTATAATTTCATCGCAAGCAATCTTGATATACATAATGGAATATTAGTTGACAAGATATATAGAGAATCAAAGTGAAGAAGTCAAATGAATGTAAACAAGTAATATAAAAAAAATATTTTAGTTACTTCTTATTAAATAATTAAAATTAATATAAATATGTATATACATATAACAGAATCACTATATTAAGTGACAAAATAAAAGGCGATTTTCCGTTTTCCTTTCTATATAGCAGGGGTATACTTTTGATATCCGTGGTCTACTCCACATTTAAAAAATCAAAGGCGCGGGGTCTACCAATGGCAGAGCTAAATTAACGTAACGTACATTTTTATATATTTATTTTCGGTAACAAAAAAAAATGGTTAATTATCTAATTTTTCTAAAAAAAATTTATATTAATATTTATAAAATAAAATTAAACCGACGAAAATAATCAAAGTATTCATACATCAAAAATTGACCATCCAATTCGCTTCGTTTAGTTGAAATTTGGATATAATCTAATTGTTTTAGGTTTTAAAGCGTAAACTGTAGTACATTTTTATTTTAAATAATTCATTAATTCATAGTCATAAGTCATAAATTAAATTGTTAATATTCGAGGTCATTATCGGGATTTTCGCTCGGACTACCTAAAATAACTTCGCGGTCGACGTCTTGGCCACCTGCTATATAGGGTGTTGGACTATTATTTTTTTTTTTTTTTTGCTATTTAATCATTCATTAAATTTAATTATTCCAATAAAATAGTACAGTAAAAAGAAATCCCATTCTCAGAAATTAGGTCATCCCAGGTGGGATTCGAACCTACTACCTTTGGATTATGAGTCCAACGGGTTATCCATTGCACTACAGGGACACAACGATCGATTTTCCTTTTTATATATGGTGTTGGACTATTGTTTTTGTTTGTAACAATTTATTCATTAATGAATTAATATTTGGGGAAATGTATGAACATCAAGTGTCATCCATTACAAGTTTTAAAAAGTGTATTTGAACTTGAATGGATGAATAGAAAGTATTTTATTAACGATTGAAAATTTGAACAATATATATAAAGATATAAATAAATATATATAAGAAGAATGTGAACTAATAGTAGGAATAGAAAAAGAAATAAGAATACCAAGTCAAAAAACGATTTCAGGATGGGGACCGAAGTGTTCTGATAAACCAATTTGATGGACTAACCTTGCCTCTTACGTGGTTAATATGAAAATATATAAAATATATTAATAATGAAAAAGAAAGAAGGATGCTCATGGAAGGACTAAAAGAAATGAAATTAATAACGTAACTGCAGATGTGTAAAAGAAATCATCAACTAACCCATTGGTCTACAGAGCTGGCTCTTCAGACTTCTAGCTGTATGTATGTACTTCTGGCTGTATGCACCCGTATGCATACAAATGGCTCTCTGAAACCTTACTTATCTTGTTTCCCTGAAAACTTGGTTCTTCTCTCTCGGAAGTCTGCCGTAAGATCTTCAATGATCTACGATGTAAATCTTAAATACAACTAAAGCGACTTATATACACTTGGCTGCCGACAAATAGAAAGTAATATATTATTTTAACTATTGAAATTTTTATACTTATTTATTCAAAGTGGGGTGATAGTTAACATTGTTGCTATTTAGTTGTAACAAGTGCTTTTATTCTTTTTGATATTGTTAAAAGTGTGTTTTTGTTTAAGTTGAAAGTAATCACAAAAACAAGTTTTTGATAAATATGCTCCTCATTGGTATGTTTTTCAATGAATATGAAAGATTTTGGAGTTTACCCCGTTTATATATATGTATATATATAATATATATTATATTTTTTAAATTTATATATATATATATATATATATTTTATTATATTATATATTCCCAAATTTTCCTACAAACAAGAGATAACATCCAAACAATAACATTCGACAAAAAAATAGACAGCAGGAAAATCACACAATGAAGGAAAAAAAGAGTAATCGAGATTAAAAATTTTAAAATTTTAAAAAGGGATGCTGCAGTGTTATGAACATACTGACTTAGACACTTTTATATAAAAAATAATTTATATAAAAGTGGAGTTGAACATGTTTTTGGCCACCCAAACCCTTTCCCCTTTTTGTAAATAACACTGTGAAAAAAACCAAGGAAATAAGGGATGGGAATATTAAACCATTACAAGATAGAGGTAACTTCCAAAAATTCACTTACAAATAAAAGCCGGGGCTAAATCTGAGTGCAAACATTAATTTATTGCCAGATTCTATACCCAATACATATTTAAATCAAAAGAATGGCTGAAATGTAGCATTTAAACCCAAAGAATATATATATATATATATATATATATATAAAACTCTCTGTACATCGGGTTTTCAGCACTGTTACCTATGAATTTATATGCACATACTATTAAACTTAGAGTTTTTATCTTGAATATTTGATATAATTAAAATATTTTTATTTTCTGGCATTATACCAAAACAGATTATTAGATTTAATTTATGTCACAATGTAAAATTGCTCTTGGGCTATTGGCCACAGACCTCGTATTTTGAAACTATAATCAAGCGATGAGAACGACTCCTGAGCTGGCAACCCCTCTGCAAACATGCACACCACGCCACTAGATTCAACGTGCATCACCCTCTACTCCGAGGGACTTCAGTGGCTCTTGGTTTCAAACCCGCGACCCGACAACGTAGGCCACAAGCTCGCAACCATGACCACTCGGCTACCGCGGCCACTAAAAAAAAAAGAAAAAGATGAATAAAAAGAATTAGCTCTGTATTAAACTACTACCACACTTCAGAGGAATATCAGTTGATATGAGTGGCTTAACGTACACCCCCGCAAACCCCTCATTTCGAGAGGGCAAAAATCTAGGGGACCCAAAACCTTACTTTAGGGGGAAGAGGGCTTAAAACTCTCCGTTACACCTCTCGACATAGTTTGCTAAAATATTATACATTGCAAAAATATGTAACTGACATATCCTTGCCACAATTCCATTAAATTCAGAATATATATATTTTCAGCTAAAAGAATTATCTTGTAACTTTTATTATTTTTTTAATTAAACTTATACCTATTTATCTGACCCCGCTTCCTTTCTCCCCTTATTCCCCTTCTCCGTGTCGATTAGACGTCGGGTGAGCGTGTTTCAAAATTGTGCTCTTTTCCCTAATTATTTCTCTACCTAGCTGAACTGCTCTTTTATTATTTGGACCCGGAGGGCGATGCTCCATTCACTTGCTTTAAAACGAAAACACAAAAATCAACCTAACCGTGAAACGAAACACTGCACCTCAGACCCACACGCAATTGGGTCTGTTAATTAAGCCCCAAAAATGCTTCCACTCCCCTTCTATTACTTTGTATTTAATTTAACAACTAGAAAGTTCCGCGAAGGGGCGTCTCCATACTGCCTTCAGCCCCAGCGTGGGACTGACGTGTCATTCTCTTCCCCTCCTTCAAGCTGTCCTCAGGCGCCGACTAGTGTACAACCCCATATCGTGTCATTTAACACCCCCCTACAAAAAGCCCTCTTATTTTTTTCCTTACTTGCAGGATGAAGTTGACAGGCATCACTTGGCCAAATGAAACATCCCTCACTTACTTTTCCATTCTCTCTCCCTCCCCCTATCAGACGAGTTTAGATGTTCTTCGTCCAGACCCCTTAATATTCTCGCCCACCCTCTTCCGTTGGTGATTGATCAAGAGAAAACGGCCGTTTTCCTTTATCTTCTGGCTTTTTCTCTTTGTGTGCGCAGATAAGGGAGATGGGGATCAGTCTTGGAGATAATCCCTTTGTTTTCTGATGGAGATATCGCATCCGTTTTATATATGATCCGATTTTCATGTATGGATGGGGAAGTTCGTGAGAGTATATTATTCTTTATGCTGCGAGATAGAGAACAAATATACATTATTTGATGGGGAAATAGAAATATATGTACACTTTGTGTTGTTCTAGATGCCCTCTTGACAAAAAAATTGCCCAATTTAACGACTGTTTTCGTGACGAAAGCTTAAGTATTTGTTAGTATTATTTATGTGGCATAATTACGTAAAAAAATATACTTTTGCTTTAATATTTAAATAATTCCTTAAAGTATCCGACTACTTCGAACCATGATTTTGCAAAACCGTATAAATGGATACTATTTAGATATTTAGTGTCGCTTAGATTAGGAAATGTACATAAAATTGTTTTAAGAATAGTATTACAGTAAAAAATTATTTAAGTACAATATTTTGACAAACAATGAACATAGAATGATCCTTTTCAAATATTCTTCTTTTGTGAAAAATGTTCATTATAACAATATTTTACCTGTATAGTAGCCTGCAGATCTCATTGTTGAAATATATAACTTAGAAGTGGGTTTATCCATGTTTTACGACAACAGAGGGGAGAAATTTTAAGAAAAAAACGTTGATAATTATTTCAAATAGTTGTAACTCTGAAAATAATGTGAATTTTTTAAAAATCATAGTTGAGCCTCTGTACAAAGGTCTGAGCTATATACAGGTAAAATATTATTATAATAGAAGCATTTTTCCCAAAAGGAGAAAATTTTGAATAAAAGGTTATTCTAAGTTAATTTTTTGCCGAAATATTGTATTTAAATAATTTTTTGTGCCAAAATGTCAAAACAATTTTATACATGTATTCTAATCTAAGTGACACAAACTAAGTAACTAAATATCATGAAAATTATCCATTTATGCGCCTTTTTAAAATCTTGTTTTCGAACGTAGTCGGATACCTTAACAGTTGCGCTATTGCTATGTTTATATAATTCCCGTACACTACTGTCTCCTTTCTAATTATATATGTTTTAAAAAAATTATTTATTTTCTGCTGTGAATTGCTGAATAAGTAATATTTTGATGATACATCATTTACATCTGTACGAAAAACACACTCATCATTTTAGAAATGTTTTATTTTTATCTGTCCATGTGATTGCTTTATATACTTATAATTTTTTGCATTTCAATATGTAAATTCCATTTTTCTTAAATTTTTATCCATTAGTTAAAAGTAAAATATTTTCCTAACATCTCTTTACAACATAAGCTTTTGGATTATCATTCTTTTTTCGCACACAGATCTCATAAGATAACTTTTCCTCTACTTTTTATGTAGTTGTAAATTATATTTCAGTTATATTTCTAGTTACATACTTTTTGCTATTAAGTGATCCACCCTATAAAATTTAAACTTAAATGTATTGTTTTTCAGATTGTGCTAATCTACAAGAGTAATGAAAACTTTTGCTTTAAAAAACATACTATTTATAAAATGATTATCTTTGTTTGTTGCCACTATTATTGTTGCCTCTATTTGGTTATTTCACCCCCTGCCAAAAATTAGTACGAACATGTGAAATAGTTTGAAAGAAAATTTTCTGATTTATAATAAAATTAATTTTTTCTTCTTGTATTTCCATGTAATAGGTTGTAAAATGCCCTTTGGTAATATGATTTACTTAATTTATAAGTATAATTCATCTTTTGCATTTTATGTAATTGCTTCTACTTCTGGAGTTGTTACTCAAGGATATATCACAAAAAAACAAAACAAAAATGATATGTTTATCGATAAGTTTTAAGCCACATGTTTACTTACTCCCTGAAATTCTAAATAGTTGATTATACATGACAGAGGCGTAGCTAGGGCTTTCAGCTCCCGGAGACAAACTTTGTTTTTGCACCTCTCTTGAAAAGATGTACTATACTAGTGACCATCATGCGAAAAAGTTTTGAGATCAGAGCATGAAAACTGTATTTGGTGGAAAAATTATAGGTGTAAAAGTTTGAAAAATTAAAATAGTCACGATGGGATATTTTAAAGT